ATATATTGCTTCTCGACTCAACAAAATAACCCACTACCAAAATTTATTTTGGGAATATGGGAGTTTGTTTTTATTAAGATAGTTATAGTATACATCGTACATGAAATAAATGTTATTGTCACTTATAAATAACGCGATTTTGAATGAATATTTAATAATTACTTATTTTATGCTTTATACTTAAGCGTGATGCATAATTTGTATCACATCAATCACTATTCTATTACTCTCCTAACTAATTAGGCCCATGATTCTAACAATAAACTTAAAAGAATAAGGAATATTAATTTATATTTCATGGCTTATCTAAAGTTTTTTCTCATGTAAAACCACTTTTGAATCACGCATCATCCATGAAAATTCCGCTCACGGTTTTATAAGAACTTTGACACTTTACTCTTATAATCTGAGTTTAAGAATAAATTTTACCTAATGTGCTTGTGACAAAATAACCACTTTCTTCGTAAGCGAGACAACTCGGAAAATAATTCTATAGAATGACCTAACGACAAAAAAGGGATAGTTATTGACGTTGCTTTTGAAGAAGGTGGAAAACAATTTCGAATTTTCATATGACTTGTAAAAAAGAGCATGCCTTGTGAATCTATAAGCACTTTATGTAAGAATTTTTAATTAAAGATGGGCTTGTATGTGTGAATATTTGTGTGTTAAATCATAGGCTATCGAATTCGGTTGAGCCCAATTAAAGTGATCTAATAAGGCTTTGGTTTTGAGTTTTAATGTATCCAGTTAAAGTATGGGTTTACATATGTATAAAAACCGGGCCCAAATCCTAATTTTATGATGGGCCGAATTAGATCAAAGGGCATCCCTATATAAATAGTTTATGGTTCCCAGATCACACGCAACATATTATTCATTCTCTATTATATCCCATCACAGAGAGGCAAAGGAGACTGCGTGTAGATTTGAAAGACCATACCGCGAAATTCATATTGCATTAACTATATCTGATTCAGGTATGCTTCCGCTTTAACTCTTGTATTTCTTGATAATTTAATATGAAAGATACGGTAATTTAAAGCACAATATTACCCAACACTTTAAACATCTTTAAAATTATGTGTAAATGTTTAAGAATGAGTTGTACTAAGTGCCTCTTATTAATTGTATCTAATTTTGTCTCAAAGTTAAAAAGGAATATGAATGCTATCTCATCCCATGATCCCATGTTAGATTTCTTTAAAAGTCAACATCTACTTTTTTTATGAGTATTAGGATTAGCCATGGTGTAATGTTGATTTTTTGAGAAAGTGATTTTATAGGAAAATGATTTTTCTGAATACATGATTAAAAAGTAAAAAAAATATATAAATGGATTCATGCATAAAATTATTTTATTTAAAAATATATGATCAAGATGAATTTGAAAATCAGACAAGCAGGTATTACTGAAACTTCAACACGTCAAACATAGGAAAAGACAAATTTGGGTTAGGACAAAATTGCCATCGTTTTGCGTGCACGGCTCTCTATAAATTTGTTGTGATTCGTTTGCTTTTTTGAGGGCCAAAATTTTTTGCATGCAGTTGTGATATACCACTCGAGTCCCCAGCACCATACTCTATGCTTATTGCTTACCCTGCCAGTATTGTGGATAACATAGAACAAGTGGACCTCTTTATTAGTCCACTTTGTTGGGGTGGAGGGTGGGGTGAGGCCTCGAATTTGAGTACAGTTTGAACTATTGATTTAAGTAATTGTAACAACAGAAACTTTGATATTGAATACTGATCAATTGAATATCTCTATTGAAAAGACCGCAACAGAAAATAGAATAACAACAATAATTAGTTGAAATATTTTTGATTTGTACGCTATACATTTTAATTGAGCCTAGGTGATGTGGGACATGATTTGTACTCCCTTTATCACTTGGCTGGAGGCACTCCCATTAACATAGGGGTTGGATTCACAAGTCCAATTCATTCTTTACATCCATCCACTATGTTATTGAGTTAATGTCTATGAACCTAACTCACCATTGTAAAATCAACTTACAATGCGACGGTTTCTTTCTCTTTATATATTGCACATCAAAATTGCATCTAGGCGGCGTGAAACTTACTTTAAAAAGTATTTTGGAAGGGAAAGGGGGTCTCTAAAATGCGTAAAATACTTGGAGTATGGTATTCAAATTCAAAACCCTTTATTACCTTGCCACAAAAAGAGAATCAATGACAAAAGCTATATCTTACTTAATAAATTCGAGATCAAGTACATGAATTATTTTCAACACTTATAAGATTTAACAGAGTTTAACATTGTCTGTCAACCTACTATTGTACCCTTTATTTGTCCATATTCGAATGTATATAGAAAAAGATAAGAAGAGGAGAGCTCAATCACGATACGAAAGAATCTAATCCAATCATGCATAATTTAAGCTGTCAAGAGCACGACACTAATTAATCTACCAAAAAACATATAATCTAAGAAAGCAATTATCACAAAAATGGACATCAAATCCAACCTTGATGTGAACTGTTCATTTCCTATTTAGCCCTTATTTGAGCCACATTATTGTCATAAAATTACATTTTTGAATAGTGTATGGATGAGAAATGCGTGATTAAAAAAATAAAGAAAAATTTTAAATTTGCGTATAATATTATTTTATTGAAGAATGTTTGGTTGAAATGATATCACATCACTTTTTAAAAATGTATTTTTTTGAAAGAATGTGGATCAAATAGAGTCTTAATTCATCTGCCAAAACACAAGAAAGAAGACTATTCTTATTCAAAGATAAAAAGGTTGTAGGGTCATGCTCATGCCAAAGAATAACTTTTTATTCAAATCCTACTTTTGGAGAATTTTTCTAAGTTCTCATTAGTCTTTCAAGGAACTGTTCAAGACCAATCTTTCGATTCCACAAAAGCCATTTCCATTGAAAGTGAAAGCAAAAGACTCTTCTATGATTAAAAAACCTTTGTAGTCAATAGACTAACAACATAGTTTCGTTTCAATTTATCGAACTTTATTTTGTTTAAATATGATCGCTTAGTTAAATCTCATTAATTTTTATGAATAGAATGTCACACATGGAAGACCTCCGTTATAACAAATTGTTGTTGTCGCTAAAGACTAATGGAGTGACCAAAGTGAAAGAGAAGAAATAAATAAAAGTCAGTGACTAACATCAAACTTCTCTATATGTTAAATGTATTATATATTCATTGGGTTGGATTTGGTTAGAGCATTCATAAAGCATGTTTAGGTATTGAAAGGGTCAAAATTCTTATCAATGAATAATTATGAAACTTAGATAGCTAGAAGATTAGATGCACAAAAGAGCTTTTTCCTTTCCTCTTCATTGACTGGTGACTGCGTCAGACTTATCAAGATTTAAACCAAAATAATATTATGAAGAAACTTGTTTTTCTCCATACTCTTCATATAAAGTTGGGTTAGGTATAATATAATATGATTTTTTGAGCGTAATCAAAAAAATACAAACGAGCTTTGGTTTTTTTTTCTTCATTGACTGTGACTGCCGTAGCATCAGACTTTTCAAGAGTTAAACCAAAATAATACTAAGAAGAACTTGATTTTTTCCATACTCTGTATATAAAGCCCCGTTTGGCCCTTTTTTTGAAATGAAAATTGGTGGAATAATATTTTTTTTTAAAAAATGAATGGTTGAAAAAAAAAAGGAAATTTTTTCGATTTACGTATAATATTATTTTATAAAAAATTATGTAATTGAAAATGTGAGAGAGAGAAATGAAATGAAATTTAATGAGAACCAAATGACGGCAAAGTTAGGTTAGGTATAATCTAATACGATTTCACAAGTTCCTAGACAGAGCTTTATCAAAAAAATAATAACAAAAATTTTTACTATAATCGAAAATTTTACTCTTCAAATTTATAAATATTTTCTAAATTGCTAAACATACTTTGTAAAAATAAAGTCTTCTAGAGATGCTATGATACATACATGATACAACACTAAACAGTTAAATAATCCGCACGCTTTCATAATTTATATATAATAGTGTCCTCAAAAATCGTGCGAAGTGTTAAATGTCAAAAGGTGAAACTTCATTATGAACTGCAAGCAGCCATAGTTAATTCTTCTGTATAATAACAATAACACGGCACAAACATTTTCAACCCAATGTCTCCATCCTTGAGATAATACTTGTTTAACTTCTAAGTGAGCAATTATTACTAAGTTTAACGATGCCAAAGCTGACCAAATCAAGTATTTTTCTAGTCCAAAAGGTCCTAATCAAAAACTATCAATTTCAGAAATCGAACAAAAATGTTGACACCGCCTCATTATTTGAAGTTTTATTCGAAAAATTTCAACCACGAGGAGGCCAGGTGGACCCCTATTAGACAGTCTAGGATAAAGCTAACTTCATCGGTAGAACCAAAGGTGTAAAAAATGGATGGCGTGCACCCACGAGCATGACACAGTGGTAAAACAGAAGGGTTCCACACGGAGCATAGGAGGTTTGAATCCCCGCAACAACTGGAAGGCAACATTTATGTTAGAAGGCAGTTGTCCTGTGGAGGCAAAATTATGGTGCGCTTTGTCGCCCCTTCGGAGGTCCTATCCGCACGTTATAAATGGAAGTCTATAGGGAAGATACATGTATCCCGAATGTCCGACCCAAGTGTATATAAACTATGTTCGCATTCGAATTTACCTGAGTGATGAACCAAGAGGGAAGGCCGCCACTCCTCTGGATTAATTAGGCGAAGCTTCAACACCTTAGTTATCCAAGAAATTAAAAAAATAAAAATAAAAAAAAGATGGCACTGGCCCATAAAAGCCCGTCCCACTCCTTGAGCTGGTCTTGCCAGGCCCTGCTCTAGGGGCCTAAAGGACAACATTTCTTGCATGGTCTTGGCTTTGTCATTACAAGACTCGCAGTTAAGGAATCATCCCAGCTCAGTACAGTTTAATTCCATTTGAGTGCCACAATAATTAAAGGCTGTATGTATGTGAGGTTTCACTNGCTGCAAAATAATCTAAAACTGCAAATATCAGATCAGACTAGGATGAGATTTATCATCTACTATGAATTTATATGAATCTTGCCTCCTTCCTCAATGAAGTTATAACCGTCTGCTTTTCTGATATTTGAGCCTTTCACAGGCTTCCTCAACTGTGCAACTCCATCCCACTTGCCTGCGCTTGCCTAGACATTGGAAAGAATCACGTAATTACATGGACTCCATGGCTCCAACTTAAAGAGAAACTCAGCAGTTTTCTCAGCGAGCTTGACACTGCTATAGAAACTGCACGACCCAAGCAGAGTTCCCCAAACAATGGAATCAGGTTTCATCAGCATAGTCTGTACAAGACCATAAGCTTCTTGCAGTTCTCCTTCACGACCTAGATCAGCTGTGCATCCATAATGTTCTCGCTTTGGATTAATGGAGAACTTGTTCATTAAATTGAAGAGTCCGTGATTCTTTTTAACCAAGCCTCCATGTGTGCATGCTAATATTGTCCATAAATGTGACATCGTCTGGTGTTATTCCTTTTCCCTACAATGTCAGTACATCACACACAGCATGTTAACTTCAACGAGAAAATTTAAATTTATAACTAATTTTTTTTGCACCTTACTAGTGATTTACCCAAATAAAAGTGCTAATGTTATTTGAGGTGGACATAATTAGAACCCTTACCAGCATTTGATTATACATTGCAACTTTATCACTTTTTCCATGGACTGCTAAACCCATGATCATGGTATTCCAAGAATGAAATTTCTACGTTCAGTGATGTCATCAAACACTTGCAATGCTCTCTCAATTCTACCACATCTTGTGTGCAATTCCAGCACTGATTGCAGACAAACATATTCTTGAAATAACCATTAGCTCGTGCATAAGCTTCAATCCTCCCCTCCATTTCCAAGTAAATTTTCAAAGCCTCCCTATATTTCCCTATTCTGCTAGTACTCTAATATCATTGCAGTCAAAGAAATCACATTCCTCAATGGCATAACCGAGAACAAACTTGAAGCTTCATCCAAAACCCACACCTCATGTACCCTGCAATAAAAAGAATTCCAACTCGGAACGTCCTTAACACTCATCTATCAAACTATTTTCGAGCAAAATACACCAAACCCATTTTAGCGTACATGTCAACTAGTACAGTTAGTGCATAAACATCACTCTACATGCCGAATTGAATGAAATGGACATGATGCATTTGGCCTTGGGAATGGACAGAAAGTTTGGCACAGGCAGAAAAGAGGAAGGTAAAGAATGTGCACTGGGAGAGTACCTCTGGTGCAGCATCTGGGAATAGAGAGAAGAGCAATGAAATGAGGCCCATAAGAAGAGTAGGCTTGGATGAGCTTGATGTAGGGAAAAAGAGTTGGTTTAGGCGTATCGTTTAGGCATATTATCAAACAGTTTGTGAGCATAGTGTACGTTTGAGATTTCCAATGATTAGGTGATTAAGTACTTTGTAAAGTCTGGGCCATTACTTAACAGTGTGTGGCATGTATTTGCTTCAAGGTTCATAATTGATCATTTAACCATCCCTAACCAAACAAACCATTGGGTGCAAGTCACATTGGTGAAATTATGTAGAATCAAGCAAACTGGCTTATTGTTGTACGATATTTTGACAATACCAAACTCAGCCAGAGGCTGACGAATGAACCAAGAGATAACAAAATAGATAAGTTTTCAAATTCAACGTGAATAGTAAATTCACCTGACTTATATATCTTTCAGAAACTCTTCAGATGATGATGATGATGATGATAATATTTCTGATTGATATACGTCCACATATGTTGTTGGAGGTTTGATGGCTAGGTAATGGTGGGTGGATTTGGGAGTAAGAGAGAAGCAGACGATGAAGGTAATTTCAAAAGTATTGCATTCTGAGAGACAAACACTATGAAATTTTGAGCAGTTACCATAAGAGGACAAATCTATTTTAACTAAAGTGCAGGGATTTGAAGGGTACGGGGTGAGGAGGACGGTATAAATGAATCGAGTAGATTAGATTGGTTGACTCTAATGAAGAGGTCGAATATCCAAAAAAAAAAAAAAAAACGACAAAACATGCACTCAAGTCTCAACCAACATCTAAAAGGGCAAAGGCCATGATAATATTTGGTCGTAAAGTTATAAAAAAATTGAATCCTCAAGCAATTATGGGCAGTCCTATGAGCTTTATAATATATTGCCATCGAAATAACAAAGACACCACCGCCCCAGTTATCTATAGCTTCCATCTCAGCCTCAGCTAATTGAGCACTAGAAATGTGATTACATATGAGCGTCAATTTTTAAAAAAAAAATATTTCTTCATACTCATTTTATGGGACTTACAATTTTTATCAATTTACTACTATTCACTATGATATTTATTAAAATCAACTAAAAATCTAATTTTTGGTCAAACCAAACATGGGCTTAGTAAGAAATAGTTAAAAATATAATTAACTAAAACTAATAAAAATAAAGATCAGCCAAAGCTTTCTAGGCGGCATTGTCCATCAACAGTTTTATATAACTGCTCAGAGCCCAGTGCGATCATCATATCTTTGTGATTTAATTTAATAATATTTTCCAGATTTTCCAATTTAGCTAAAATATGAACCGAAATGGAATGAAAATAACAAAAAATTAATAAATAATATAAAAATCCATCATATTGAAGTTCAAAAAAATTTAAATTGGAAATATAATGTAAAATACTGCGTAAGTTGCCTGGACACCCCTGGTCATCCATAAAAAAAAAAAAAAAAAAAAAAAATACTGAATTTTTGGAGAGGGATATCCTCAGAAAAAAAAATGCTTGTAGTTGTCATCAAATTAGACAATCAGGTCTCAAAGATTTCATGCCATCATCGAAATCCCCAATCCAATTTCTAATTTTTTATACAAAAATTAAAAAAATAAATAAATAGCGCCAAAAATTAAAATATATTTAGCAGAATCTAAATTCACTGCACCTGGCGTAACAGTACTGTGGCGAAGCGACTCAACTCTCCTGCATAAACTTTCTGCCCCTTGACGAGTATATACATCAAATAGAGAACCCAAATCGTGACATTTTAAAGGATTCTGAAGAAGAGGCAAATATAATTATCAATCAAAATTTTATAAATGTCTTGCAAATTTACCTGACGAACACATCTATACACGTAGATATACAGGGCGAGAGGAATAGAAGATATGATGAGAATTAGGGTTTATGGCTCTTGCTTAAATAGAAGTTTGGGACGGGTTTTAAAAGGCAGTGGAAATTAAATACAACTTCGATTTTAGGAAATACATAGAAATGACTTATCGACTGTAGTAAATTTTAACATTGATCTTTGACCCTTCAAATCAATTAAAAAAAATTAGTTAAAAAATAACTTTACACACAAAAGGACGATTTTACCCTTCAACATTTACAAACTGTTTTCGAAGGCCCCTCTAATCGATCGACTCAAAGAAAATCGACACCTCAGTTGCCACAAAAACAGTCCGATCAACCATCGGTCGAAACCATCGACGCCACAGTGACTTCGATCAACGACCAAACAGCAACCGATGAAACTATTTCAGTTAGTTTTCTCGTACAAATTTGTATTTTTTGTTGTTTATAATCAATTGAATTTTTTTTACATTTATTTGGCTTAATTAGATTTTATGCATGAGTGTTAGATTGTGTGGGTCATGCTTGGGTGGAAAAATGTGAATTTTTTGGACCTCTCATCATCGAAATGGCGATTTTCGACGAAAAGAGAAACGGGGAAAGACATCGATTGTTAACAGTCGAGTTCAGTCGGACTGTTAACAGTCGATTTTGACTATTAACAGTCGATTGTTAACGGTCTTGGTCCGATTGTTAACAGTCTTTTAGCCGATTGTTAACATTCAAACCGACTGTTAATATTTAAATTTTTTTAAAATATATATTTAATTTTTTAATTTTTTTTAAATATATTGTCTAAATATACAGAAGATTAATTTTCTTTATAGTTAATTTATTTTTTTATTTGATTAAATAATAATTATGTTATTTTTTTTATAATTGTCTTTTATTTATATAATTGAATACTATCTGAAATTAACAATTTATTTTGTTCCTTTTTTATGAAATAATCTTTGATTTTGTTTCCTAATTTATTTAAATAATATTTATATACTTTAATTTTTTTTAAATGTTTTTAATTTTAAAATTTTTTTGTAAATATATTTTCCAAATGATTAATACAAAATTAATTTTCTTTATAATTTTAATTTGATTAAATAATAATTATGTTATATATTTATTTAATTTTTATATTCTTTAATTTTTTAAAATTTATTTAAATAATATTTATATTCTTTAATTTTTTTTGAAAATATATTTAATCTTTAATTTTTTTGTATTCTTTAAATATTAATAATTTTCTTTTGTTGAAAATCTCATTAATTTGTATTTTAATTTAATTAATTATTTTTTACATTTATATTGAATTTATTTTGTTATTAGCGTCAATGTTTTGCATATTGTATGGTAGTTAGAATTCGATTTCCTTGATTTTTTGAGATTATGCGTTATTTTATTATCTCTTATTTAATGTTCTAACATTTGAATTTTTGCAGGATGGAGTATCATTTAGATGGGGAGTTGAGACGGATGGTGGGGAAAGCTACTTAGAACAGTAGCTTTGAGAGTTTTACTGCTGTGTTGGAGCTGCTCGATGATCAACACGGAGATATGCTACGATAGTCCTTCTTGTGGCCACTGTACTAGTTGCGAGAGATGCAGTACTCAGGATAGATCATCGATGAACTTCTATGTCGGCTTCTGAGGCCAGTCGACAGCGATTCTCTCCACTTCGACCTCGGGGGCAAGATCGTCAGTTTCTCGATATTTAAGTTTACCTTGATCACTAGACTCAGGATTACGAGCGACGATGCAGCCATTGAGAGAAGCAATAGGCTGTATGAGACGTACTTCGAGGGACATGGGTTAGTGCTTCTACTCGAGTTGATGGTCGCGATCCCGGGGTGCGACCAGATGCTAGATAGATTGAAATTTAGGCTGGTCTACATCTTCGAGAGTGTGATGAAGTGTCATCACAAGAAGACTGTCATCGGCATTTTTCATTTGCAAGTTATTGACGACATCAATGCATTCAATAACTATCCATGGGGCCAGAGATGCTACGAAGACACAATACATGTCTTCACCAGATCACACTCAAGGACCAAGGGGTCAATGCGTAAATACGATACATATGGATTGCTCTTAGTGGTGCACGTAAATGTTTAATATAATCAAAGTTAAAGTTTTAGTATATTACATTTATGCATAATAAGTGTATGTGTTGCAGGTTTGGGTATATGAGACAGTCCCTGTACTGGGGGCCTACTTTGCGAAGCGAGAGGAGACACGATACCCTCGGATGCATCATTGGAGATCATTGCGAGCGGATAGATGTCCCACTAGGAAATAGTTATCGACCCTCCTCGACGATCCTCAGGTAAGTATTATGCATTTGTGATTTATATTATACATAATTTAAAATCTGTTTACATGATCGTTAACTAATTGAAATGTCAATATGTCAGCTTGAAGTCATACCTAAGTTGACGCTATCGATGGAAGAGAAGGCTCAGGGTCTTGTGCGGGATTTAGGCGTTCTACTCACCCAAGATGAAAAGATATCTAATCCGAGCCTAGACCGAGATTGAGTATGTGAATTAAATATAATTTATTGAATATCGTTTTGTATAAATTCATTGAATAATTTTTAATGTTGTTATTTGTGTAGGAGGGCGGTCTAGCTGATCGACGATCACCTCCGCCAAGGGTATCGCTTGCGCTATTGGCATCACCTCCGTCGAGAGCATTATCGTCGCCATTAGAATCACCTCCACCGAGGGCATCGCCGCCGCCATTGACATCGCCACCGCCAAGGGTATCTCCTTCTCTCTCATCCAGACACCTCCCCCATGTATCTCCTACACACCGTGATGATTTGTATGCCCATCTGATTGAATTTATAGCGAAAGAGGTCGGCGCGCTACGACGAGAGTTGACGGAGAGGGTCAACGATTTGATAGGGAAGGTCGACCATATGACAGGGAGGGTCGACAATATGGGACGAGAGTTGACAGGGAGGGTTGACGATCTATCCCATGATGTTGGAATGCTACGATCTTGCGTTGTCAACCTTCAGGATACGATAGCGACATTTAGAGGAGATTTAGCTGGCAGGCGATGGGGGGACAAAGGGGATGGAGGATATGATAATCGAGAGGGTGGCAGAGATGGTGATGGAGAGGGGCTCACCCACATTTTTGACGTGATGAGACATTAGAATCATTGTGGTTGTCTATGAAGCGGGGGGTGGCCCCGATGGGAGGTGCGAAGGAGGTGGCATCGGACAATGGGATGGCGGTCCCCAGACCGGAAGTCGAGAGGACGCCTGTCGTGATTGAGAGTAAGAGACATATTGTTGATGAGACGAAGCAGGTGGTCGGCAAGAGGTTGAGATTGTCGTCACAGTGTGTTGTTTCCCCCTTCATGGCTGAGGCCAAGAGGAGGGCGTTAATCGATGGAATGCACCCGAACTTATTCAGGGAGGTGGACCACACCAAGTGGAAAGCGTTCGAGATGGAGTGAAGTAGAATTATCCCCAGGTAAGTATTGTATGATTTTAATAAAGCACTATACGCTAACTTGTCTATGCTTATTTTAACATTTCTTTTTTTTTTAGAGTTAGTCGTACGATAGGTCAGAGGACGGTCTCGGACGCTTACAGGTGGTTCCACGATATCACCACTTCGGGAAATGGGCTCGTCGACGATGTAAGTGAAGTATTCATTTCGTGTTTTTATGTATATGTCACTTTGTGTTTATTAAATGAATAACTCATAGTTTTTTTGGTGTTTCCAGCACATCGACTTGGCCATGGACTTTCTGCGAGATCGAGCTCAAAGACATCCAAAATCATTTGACGTCTATGGTCGAGTCATATTGAACATCGAGTTCCTGCGTGCCGTTATCATAGAGTATCAGTCGCTCCAACTTATGGGTAACAAGTACACGGTGCCAGAATATATGCTCGAGTATGTCATAGGGATGTTGCCGAGTGTCGGGGGGAAATCATGGGAGGGTTGTACACATATGTACATTCCAGCGTGCATCAATAATCACTATGTTACGCTAAGATCGTTTTTGCTGACACGACTATATATATGTACGACCCAGATCATTCATTTTTGACACAAGGCTAGCTCGAACAACACCTGGAGTCCGTAGCTGTAATTGTTCCTATGATGGCCATGTGAGCAGGGATGACTGTACAGGACAGACTGCGGGTCGCTCAGAACACGACGACAGCACGACAGTCCATAAGGTAAGTATTTGAACTTTGTTGTTTTCATCTTTCAGATTTAGTTTTTAGCTATACAGTACTAAATTGATCCATTCTTGTTCAATTGTAGCGACGACTGCGACATATTTGCCATTAAAAACGTTGAATTTTTAAGTATAGGACATAAGGTTGATGGAATCAACCAATCGTGAATACAGAACTGGAAAAAGAAGTTAGCTTGTAATTTGTTCGAATTTAATGATGACCCGTAAATTTGTGTTAAATATATGTACATTCGAATTGTAAATTTAATTATTTTTTGTGATTATGAAATAATTGTAAATTTGTGTTCAATATATATAACATTCAAATTGAAAAATTAATTATCTTTTTGTAAGTTGATTTTTTTTTATACATATGCCGATTATGGAACTATATTTTATATGAATCGTTATAAATAATATTTATCAAGAATAAATATTAAACATTGAACATTTATGAAGAACAAATATTGAACAGTGTAAAGCAAACGAAAATATTATTCATTTAACGTACCTGCCTAATTGTCATTTAGGGGGATTTGACTACTACAAAATTGTCTAGTATGCCCTATGGTTCTGCAACTGTCACACTTACGCGGTCGAGACCACGCGATTCAACTGCTGGTGGCAACAAAGTATCAAATGGGAGAATGTGCTCTGGAACTTTCCACTCGATTTCATTCGGTAGAGGAAACATAGTCTCAGCATATGCTGTTCTCCATGACTCAGTTGTAGAATACAAAGAACATAACGTTCTCGCTGCAAAGTCTCGATACATGCCCACCGCAACTGCATGCTCACATGGAAAACTCTCTAACTGAAATCTCGTACAAGTGCATGTGTTATCGATCAAGTCCACCATATATGTCGTA